GCGCCGGGAACGACTGGGAGTGTCTCTGGACTTCCGGCAATTTCCAGAAAACGGGACAGATGTGCTGCGGCCTCATTTTCCCACCCATCTCCGACCACAACAGTAAAGCCCAGCACGGTTGCCTTATCTGGTTGCCCAAGAAGCGGAATAACGGACTGGATGTTGGTCCCACCGGGTCCAGCAAAATCATTATCAATAATAATGTAATTAGGGTCCCCGGGTGTCTGCGCGTGGCCGTGAAGGGGAAGCAGAACAAACAGCCCAGCCAAAAGTATTGAAAAAACCGTAATTTTTGAAAGCATGGCTGAAATTCCCTTCAGGCGTGGTGGCCGTGCATGTGGGCAGAAACAATAAAGAACATGATGAAAATGACGCAAAGCCCCCACACAACGGGAGAGATAGTGCGGACGCGGCCTGTGGCAAGAGCCATTGTTGTATAGGACAAAGTACCAATTGCCATGCCGTTGATGAGATTGCCTGTCAGAAGAGCCGTTAGAAAGGTGAGCGCAGCTGGAGCACTTTCCTTCATATCTGACAGATCAAGATGGCGGACGCCCTGAAACATCATCATACCAACCATCAACAGAGACGGGGCCGTTGCCTGTGGCGGGATAATCATAAAGAGGGGCCATGGAAAACAGGGCTGCATAAAAAGCCCCCCCGCAATTACCCAGAAGCCGTCAAACCGGTACTCGTGGCGCCCGCCTCATGTACCCCGTATAGATCAGAATAAACCGGACAAATGGATGTGCCGAAAGAGGGGCCAGAATACTGCCCGGCAAGCATCCGTTACAAATGCCTCGCGTGCACGAGGGATCTGTCCGTTTTTTGAAACCATGCCCGTTGCAGTGACGACGCCGAGAAGATTGGCGAGTGTTCCAAACAGTTCTGTACACAGGAAAAAGAACAGCATGGGCAGCACATAGAGGAAGTTATGGATAAGATAGAGCGGTTCCAGGTGGAGGGCCGTGGGCATAGGGCCACTGCGCAGAGCAAAAAATATGCGCAGCCATGTAGTGAGAGTGCGCCTTCATCAGGTAAAAAAAGTCCGGCAATGGTGAGTGCTATAATTGAAAGGATTAACGCGCCGGGAATACGCCTGACCACCAGAACGGGTGTGAGAATAAAACCCGCCAGCGTCATGAGGACTTTCGGACTGCTGATCGACCCCATGGTGACAAATGTGGACGGACTGGCAACCACAAAGCCGGAATTACGCATGCCGATAAACATGATAACAGCCCCACGGCGACCATGAAGCCAATACGCAGGGTCTGGAAATCATGGCAATGCGCTCGCGGATGCGCGTCAGACTGCATGATCATGAAGATAGCACACCCGTCAGGCAGACAGTGCCAGCGGCCGCCTGCCACGGCACACCCATTTGCTGACCAGAATTGATGGCAAATACGACGTTTTGACCCATTCAGGCGCAACGCCAAGCCGGGAGGTTGGCCACAAGGCCCATCAGGTGGTACTGAAAATGGCAATGAGGCATGTCGCGCTTAGAACGCTTGCGCGGCCCATGCCAGCTTCTGCCCATAATCATCGGGTTAACGGCGACGCAAATAATGGCCGCAAATTGGTCAGACCGGGCCACAAACAGTTCACGACCAACGGTTGTTCCGCTGGTCGTGAGTCCAAAAAAACGATCTAATCTGGGATATCGCATAAGAGTCAGAGGTCTATCTTGGCGGTGGCAAGAGCGGCAAAGCTGCCAGCAACATAATAGGTGGGTGACCCTTGCGAGGCGATAGTGCTGCCGTAAATGCCGCGGGTAGCTCTGGAGGACGCAGCAATACCTGCAACCCCGGAGAGATATTGTTATCTCCCACATCATGAAGTTTCAGGCGGATTTCTCGGTCGTGTGTTCAGGATTTTTGGGGCGCGGGAAACCAATATAATACAGCACTCACATAGCCGGGCATCGCCTGATCATTCAAAAAGGTTGAAAAACGGCGACCAACATATTTGACAGAAAATCCGGCAAAATACGTGCCATCATCATAATCCAGCCCGACAGAAGCCTGTGCCTGCGGACTGCGCACAGCCATTTTCCCAGCAGTGGGCAGATAGTCAGAGCCCCACCCGGAATATAATTATCGAATTGTGCGTGCAGATATTCCGGCAGAGATATAGGGGTGAAGATGGTGCCAGGGGCGCAGGCCGATTTCAATATCCACGCCGCGGGATGTCTGACCGCCTGCGTTAATGTTCTGCGTGATCTGGGCATTGTTCACAGTAACCTGTGTGGCCACCTGACGGTTTGTGAAATTATAGTTGAAGAACGTGATAGATCCATTCACAAGGCCACCCTGATAGCGATAGCCGATTTCTTCCGAAATCGAGTACTCCGTTTTCTGGCCTGGGTTAGCCTGTGTGGCAATTTTTCCCGTGGTTGCGCTGTATGTATTATAAAGCGCATTAAGTGTGGGGGTGCGGAAGTTAGTGGCGACATCGGCAAAAATCTGACTGTGATCGTCTATACGGTAGCGTGCGCCGAGGTTAGGCGTTGCAACTGCCACATTCATGCCGGTGCGATATTGTGCTCCCGGCAAATAGTTGTAGCCAATACGGTCATGGTGAAGTAGCCGACGATCCTCGGATTCCGACAGGACCGAACATAATGTGTCCATGCGAGCGAGCCCCCGTATGTCTCCGTCAAGATTTCGCGCTTTCTCATCCCATTCAGGATGCGACTAGTCTATGTCCTTTAGCTCGGTGTCAATAATATAAAATATATTAAATTATATATATTTGCAACTTCAAATTAATAAAAACTTAGTTCATTTTTTAATAAATAAAAGTATTCTAGCGAACGTAGAGTCACCGAGTGAAGACGACATTTAATTTAATACCCTACATGTAAACTTAGGGATAAATAGTAAATAAAATCACTATTATATAAAAATGAGGAGTGTGTGAAAATTTCAAGTCAGTCCAACGATTACTTTTCGAGTTTTATGGACATAAACATAAGGAAGTTTAATTTTTTTGTATATCTAAGATTATATTCAATAACGTACACAAGGGAGAATTTTTGGGTTCAGACAACACTTCTAATACTATATTTCGAACTACAGTGAAACTTCCATAATTCGAAGTATCATTACAGAAAAGGTTCGTCTTATGGAGAGAGACTTTGAGTTAGGGATATTTTATATTTTTTTTTTTAATTTTAAAGAAACTAGAATTACATTGAAAGATATTTATTTATTTATTTGAAATAAAATACAGCACAGAAGTTAAAGTAAAGTAAAATATTCAGAGATTAGGGTTTGAGATTTTAATTTTTTTTTTAACAGTTAATGGTTTGTTCAGTACCCATGCTTCCATTTATCAAGCCAACCAGTGCTTACCTTAAAATTATCATCACAGAACCGTTTTGCAAGTTCCACTGGCTTCTCATTTAATATTCTTACGTATACTCCAGATTCCAGACTCTCCAGACTCTTTTCCTACATCCAGAGGAAGTAACAGACTTCAATAAAGCGGTAACTGATTCTTTCATTCTTCATTCGTTCAAACTTTTATTCTACTGCACGACTTTACTCTAATCTGTGTTGTTCACTTTGATAATCAAAAGCGACTGGCATTTGCATAAAGAAGCAATAGAAGAAAGAAAAAATATTTGGTTTGTAAAAAGGGAGTTCCCCTAACAGCAAAATTCATTCATACTTAAAACAATAATTCGACTTATAGAATGACAATATTTTTATTCGAGTTATATAGAAAATCGAGTTATAGAAGTTCGAGTTATGGAATCAGAATTGTATATAATTTCCTCTTAAAAACCCTGTTGCACTGTTTTCAGTTCGAGTTATAGAAAATTCGAGTTATAAAAGTTCGAGTTATGGAAGTTTGACTGTATCTTACACTACATATAAAGAATTTTTTATACTAATGTTTACATAAGAACTTTGACTGAGTTTTCAGAAATTGCCTTGAATGAATCTATATCTGTGCTAATGTATCATTGGTATCATAACACTAACCACATAAATTTAGAGTTATTATCTTTTGAAATTTTCACTTCTAAGCATGAACATGTTTTTAATTAGTTTAATAACAATAAAATGATATTTTGTGGGTTAATAAGATTATCTTGGACTTAACATTAACCAATACACACGCACAATTCATAAAGTCTTAAAACGTTAATATATAATAATAAAATAATAATAAAAAATAATAACGCTTAATATTAATATTAAACAATACATTAAAAATGTTTTTTTTTTGTTTTTGGAATAATGTCAAAAAAGGTTTTTGCTATTAGTTTGTAGTGGAATAACTTCTGCGATCAAATTGTGCACAATCATTATCTCCCATTGAGATACGACAAAAATTTGCACAGTAAACTGTGCATTAATGACGCTTTCAGTATATAATTACCGTACTTAATTAATTATTAGATAATTATTAAGTAATTCCAAACAGCCACGCCACAGTGTAGCGCAATAAGAGCACACAAAATGCCAGCTGGAAGCGATAAGTTGTGAGTGTTCTTTCAAGAGAATTAACCTGAAATCTTGCTTCAAAGATTCCAATCACTTCAAATTTTTGATCGCAGTGCGTTCTCAGCCATTCGCGGTGACAGTTGCGCAAGCAGTGATAAAAGTATCGGTTCGCATAGTGACTTCTATAAACATGAGTGAATGTTTACTAATAAATCTATTAACGATCATTGGCTGCTATGCACTTATATGTTATCTTTACGATAATTTGAAGTCGCCTTATATATTAATACGCGATTATGTGAACCAAAAGTTTTTTGGTAAAAAGTTGAAAAGTTTGACCGAAAGGTTTGGCAAATGGGCAGGTAAATGCCGGTATTAAATATATAATTTTTTACCTAAAAGAAAAAAAATGACTTTACTCTTTAATATAGTTGTTACTGGTTCCACAGACGGCATTGGTAAATATTATGCCCGAGAACTCGCACGAAAAGGATTTAACGTAGTTCTTATATCTAGAACTGAGTCTAAATTGAAAGCTATAG